TTGTGAAATAAAATGTGTTTTGAGCAACTAAAATAAATAAAAATTTGGAATATTTCATTGCTAAAACTTAATAGTTTATTACCAGGCTCGGGAATTTATACATTTGTATAATTTGTTTGAACCACTTCTGAGACACACAACTCAATGAAAAATTATCATAAGTGTATTCAGTACCACAGGAATTAATTTTGTTCTGGGAAATGATCCCCCCTACGACCCTAAAACTAAAATTCTAATTAAAATACACTGTTCAATGTTACGAAAAACTAACATAAATATCTATTTATCCTTTATTTACTCGGAATGACTGAAATAAACTTTATAAATGCATAAAGCCCCAAGCCTTATTTATTACAAAATATTCTATTTTTAAAAACCTATTAATATAACAATGTTATATTGCAATTACAATGAACATATGAAAAGTTAATTGTAATCGCATGATCTATTTTATTAAGGGAATGCAGAATTTAATGGTTTACGAGGATCTTATAATAAGATTAATAGTTGTATTATATAAATAAAATGACATGCTTCCGGTCGTCATGTACTATATAAAATAAACAAAAATAATAATCGACAATAACAATTATTAAAATTAAATAGTTGTGTTTTACAATGTATAACTAAACATAAAATACAAATTCAAACATTTATTTAAAGGATGATTGATGCATAAATTTTACCACATTTTTAATTTTTATTAAACTGTATATTTATTGCATCGAATTTTCTTATCTCGAATCCTAATGATTAGTTTCCGGAAGATCTAACTTTGGTTTTAACTATGTACTATACTAGGAGATGTTGATATAATAATTATATTTAATTCCTTTATGTTCAAAAATGATTGTACCCACATAATGCACTTGTGTATCCAATTTCATCTACTATAGTTGAGACTGTGTGGTTTTCTTTAGTATATTTAACTTATGAAAGTGTTCATCCAGTCCGACATGATACTATTCTGGACCATCGCTTTGATGGTGAAATGGTTGGTTAATGAATATGCTTCTCTTTGAAGTAGTGATGAATTTCTTCAAAAGGTTTGGTAGTATCGAGTGGCTATTAAAGGGGTTAAAATAAAAAAGGGAATTAATGAAAAAAACGTACCATGCTAAAAGCCAGAAATTATGATAATTAAAGTTGTGTTGACGACATTTGGTTTGTATACATAAAGGTATTTTTGAAATATATTACTCGTACAGTAATAATGCTTATAGATAATTAATGTTTTTGTCAAATAAAATTACTTTATTTTTTTCTCAATAGAATTTTTTTCGTTCAAATTTTATAATACATTCTTATAATAAGTATACATTATTGTTAATAAAAGAACATCCTAGACAGGTAATGTTTTATTTTTTCGTTTGTCGCTTTAATTTATCAAAATATAATTTTACATAACTTTTAATAAGTCATACAACTGGAATTTATTATTAAGGGAGAATACTTAAAATTTATAGATATTTAATAAATATTTTTAACAATTAATTGGGATAATACTATTATGTATGAATATATTTTAATTTAGTGTTGTTTAATACGATTAACTTATTGCGTGTAAACGACTAACGGCACGCCAATGCTATCAATGTACTGGTAGAATACTTTGACGAATTAAATAAACTTAAATATTTCAAAGTACTTCAACAGCTCATTATAATTTAAATAGTTTTATTTTTTATGAATTTTCGTGAGCTATACTTTAAAATGATCACGCAATAACAAAATTCTATAAAAATTTATTTTTTCTTGATATTTTGCCATAGATAATGTTTTTCTATTATGCTAAATAGTTTTTGATGAATTAATAAAACTTATGTCAGTTAATTATCAGTGATAAATTAAATAAAAAAAAATGCGAAAAAATGTGAAAATTTAATGATTTTTTTTTTTGGATATTCAAAAAAAAAAAGAAAATTACTTTCTAAAAAAATTTACGATTTTTAACGCAAAATAATAAGAAAAAAATAGGTATTGTGACAAAATGGAAAAAATTCTGTAATATAACTTTGGAACTATTATATTTTAATATTAAAAATAAAAATAACGTTTTTTGGAATTTTATGTTTTATTATACATCAAAATTTAAATACATTTATTCGTTGTTCAATTTTTTAATAATACTTTGTAACTCAGAATGACACTTCATTGGAATACTTTATAACAATTCAACAAATTGTATGCATTATTTCTTTTTACCTACATTAAAATATACGGCTTGTCACTTGAAAATGTCAAAACGTATCTTGTAAAATATGCACAACGTCTCTATTGAATGAAAGATGAACATAACTCTACCGAATTCGAGTTAAAAGGACAAAATAAAATGTTTTGAATACAACAGTATATTTAAAATATGTTCATAAGTATTTGGAACAAATAATTACTTGTAATTACTATACTCATTAAATGGAAATAATATTAATTATTCAATAAATTAAATTTATTATCATAATCCTGTTGTATAATTCGATGTTCAATAATGCATTTACTATTTGATAACTAGACGATTTACCTTTTATTGAATATCATTTGTTAATTTGAAGACATTTTCATTATCCAAAACTGTATATTTTTAATATTTCATCAATGTTGAGTCACCATAAATACCGGCGGTAAATTACATTATCGTACACCATTCCGCTCGAAATCTCTACTCGTTAACTAGTGACGTTGAAAATGGTTTGAAATAATAAAAAGGGATACTAAAGTAGAATTTAAAAACAACCACAGTTATAGATAAGCATCAATGGAGGACAAAATGATAATTTATGCAAGGGAGCCCAAAACAATTTATCGCACACGATCACAAGAAGAATACTAAAAAAATGTTTTGGGGACCGTTATTATCTCTACATTAATTCTACGGAATCAAGTACTATCCCCCAGTGTTTCGCAGAGTAATGTAAATAATAATAATAGTTACAACACACGTGTGCAGCTAATCACTAGTCGAGTGTTGACCCTGTTGTTAATGACTCGGAATAACACTGATAACAATGCAGCTACTATAACAACCAGAATCACCTGAGTAATTTAAGCGTATATTAATATTAGTATCTAAAATCCAATATTACAATAGCTACATTAAGTATTCTAGTGTTTTAGCAAAATTTTAATTTAAACAAAAAATAATAATAAAAAGAACTTTTGTGAAGTATTTCAATATATTGTTTTAATTCATTTTAAAATACAATTTATTTAATTTTATAGANCACCTGAGTAATTTAAGCGTATATTAATATTAGTATCTAAAATCCAATATTACAATAGCTACATTAAGTATTCTAGTGTTTTAACAAAATTTTAATTTAAACAAAAAAAAATAATAAAAAGAACTTTTGTGAAGTATTTCAATATATTGTTTTAATTCATTTTAAAATACAATTTATTTAATTTGATAGAAAAAAAGAGATAATTTATCACTACAAATAAACTTAAAGTTATTACTTTCATAGTATTTTTTAACTAATTATTAAATTAATATTGCCGTTCTCTAAAGTGCTAAATTTCCCTGTAATAATTATGTTAAAGTTACTTGTAATGTTTTATGAAAGATTTAAAACTTTATAAGTTGATAGAGCTTTAATTTTTTAGTATGGGTTAATATTAAACAATTAACTTATTGCAATGTTCATGCTAAGTAACTTTTGACTGTCTAAGACTTATAAGATAGTCATTTTATAATGTCAAAAATATAATTTAATAATATGATGGAGAAATGACACATTTGCTTAAAGGTTAAGTCATTACATTTTTAAAGGTTAATCTAAGAAAATCCCTAAAAATTGTTTAGAAGTCATAAATATTAAATTTCATTGTTCTATTTCATAGTTATAATTTTTATAAGCCTAATTCCAGTTAATTAGTTAATAATGTTTGTTTTATATATTCTGACATAAAATTTTTCTTACAAGTTCATAATATCAGTCAAGTTAAATATAATTTAAGTGCGTCTTCGTCATAATGATGGATTGTTGGATATATGAAAGAGAGTCTAGAGTGTTATAAAGCGAAAAATGATTGATAAGTAGGATTGAATGGAGATTCTACTCATCATGCAGTATACTTAGATCAAAGAAGAGAATTCGGTCGAAATTATATTCAACAAATTTATAACAGTTTCTATTACTTGCTGAATGCGAGATATTATTCAATAAAATAAGGTATTAACACTATTCAATGAAAAAAAAAACTTTTACATGTTTCAATCTACGAATTCTTGGCGAAGAAGTGATCATTCAATAAATAATTTTTAATTTGAAATTGATCATAAAGATTATTTCAAAAAAATACACCACACAATAATTAGTTTTGTTTGAGAAACAAAGACACTTAAATGAATCATCATCTCGATTACAACAAACAGTTAAGAGCACATGATTTTCATTTTATTATTAATTTTAGGTATTTAACCACCAAAATGAAACTATTTGGACTAAACCGTATTATTATTATTATTGTTATTGCAATGGAACCCTCGAAATAATTTCAGACACAACGCCACTTTGCATATTTAAAATATCCACGACGGCGTCCACACGCTGCAAGTTTTATTAAAACATACCATTCTATATTTGAGCACACGTTATACTTTAAGTACTTCAAAACATCGTTATAGCTATCACTATTAGAGTCATCCAACACCATTATTAATAAAAAGCACTTATAAAGTATGCTGAATGAACTTTTGTATTCAATTATTCTGCAAATAAGTGTAGTCCAACTGCTGTTACATTAGCGTTTTTCGTATGTAACTAAACTTAAAAGTAACCATTATGAAATTCAAATCTCACCATACTCATCCTTTGAGCAATGTCGTTGTTGCTTTGCAAAATAAATTAATATTATTTGCGATTATTTAAATTTTTTTCCATTCCATGATGAGTATTTTATAATACTGAAAAATAACAATATCAATAAAATATGTTACATTATGAAGAACTTTCTTTACTTGAATTTTAAAATATAACTAACATATTTTTCTTTTACAGATTTTGTACCAAAATGGTTTTATGGAAATTTTTCATGTTGGTCTCCGTGTGGGAAATTCAATCAATTACAATCGAGGAATTACCACCAGGTCAGTGTTACACTAATGTCTTGATTATGAGTGTTATTGTTTACAATAAAGTAGTAAGAATAAAAAAGAAATTGAGATAAGATACTGATATTATTTGATTTTGTAGTAAGTGGGTGACATTATGCTAATTTAGAAAGCATAGCCAACAGCTTGTCATTAAAAGTTTATTTCCACATGAACGCAGCGTAAAATAAGTAATATTAAAATGCCATTCTTTATAATAATGCATCAAAATAAAAGCAAAAAATAATAAAGTTTTCTTTAGAGTATTTCACTAATACACCTTTTTGAAGTAGCTGTGTATAATTTTCATATTACTTTTAAATTTTCTGCCTTGTTGAATTTAATACAGAAAAGTTTTATTTAAAATAATATTAATAAGTATTTTATAGTACTTGTATATGTAGCGATATTTTTCAGCATATTTAAATAGTCTGTCGAAATTGAAAAATATTATCGACGAAATGAACTATAGTCATAACTAATCAATTAGTTTTGAATGTGTTTAAAACTGGTTAAGAAAATATCAAATGTTATTGATAGAGACGCCCAATTACTCATACTATTTTTGTAAAATATCTGATATATTTAAAAATATATTTTTATTAAAATAAAAAAAACAACTCTTAAAATAGTTGACCCCGTGTAAAGTTTTAACCGTTTTCTAATGAACACTAACATACCTAATTAGCTAGTAAGTAACAAATAGAACAAGGAATATATAAAACATCTTAGAAATTTGTAAGTATACAATATAAAAGGGACCAGACGCGCTTTTCTTGAAGTAACCCGGATTGATGGCAAAGGGATTTTCACTGAGTGAAGGGTGATATTTTCTTTGTTCGACAAATCGATGGAAGACGATGGTGTCTAAAATGCTCGAGGGAAATATCAACGAATAAACTGAAATCTTTCGTTCTTATGCAAAACATTTGAAAACTTATGTTTATGCACGCTTAAAGTATAAAGGAGCTACAATCATTTACTGTCGTTAGTTGGCATATAATAAAAATAATGATTCATATAATTCAAATGTAAATTTATAGATCAGAGTAATAATAGTAGTTTATATGAATAATATTTTTATCATTTTACTTAATTTATAAGCGTTCCTTTTTCAAACATATAATTTTTTACTACATAATTTAACATGCACAAGTTTTATTTTTTAATTTAAAACTGTCTCGTAAAATATTGTATTTTTTATTTCGCTATCTTCAATAATGTCATGACTGCAAAGTCTTATCACAACTAACTGGCTATAAACCAAGAGAGAATTATCAATATAAAATTTAAAATTAAAAAATATTTTCTTGTTTAAGTTATTATATTGATTATAAAAAAAGGTTTCGATGGAAAAAATACTTGACCATCTTAGTATTTTTATGATATTTAGGTTTTATTATTTCATCACCATAAATTATATAAAAAAACAAATGATTCTGTGTCTGTCTATTATCAAAAACTAAGTTAATGCATGTAACTTAAATAAAAATAATTCAAGTCAGAAAATAAATGTACATATTTATTCGTTGGGAACAGGTATAAGACAAAAATTCAGTTGCAGTAAAGAAACTATTAAAACATAAAAGTACAATTGTGACATGTGTTGCCGTGGTGAATAACGCAATAAAAATACGCACCGGAGTCACGTGCTATTCAGTGGTAGAGTAGGGTATAAAGAATGAATAGAGAAATCACAATGAAGGGTGAACATAATGTGGAATAAAAACCTCCAGTATTGTTTTACCATGATACTTAGAAAAGGTTATCGTGTGATCTGACTGGCAATTTGAATAAAGTGAACGCGCCACCTTTTTTGTATGTGTCGTGAGCAATATGTGTGTTCATACGTGGATGAAGAAGTTTTGAATAAATTGTTGTACAGGACTTTATGCAGCATGTTTTATGATTTCATCTCCACGAGTATCCCTCATCCCTAGTTCTACGTTTCTCCTTCTATATTTTGATATGAAAATGTATAATACTCGTGTTTGTACTTTTGAAAGACGTATAAAATTGGATAGTCCGAAAGAGTACGTCGCATTGCGATCTTTCTTTATTCTTTTTTTAATAGCTTTTGGCTTCTTTTATAATATATTATCCGGACGCTGTGATAATACGCGAGAAAAATTATGTATTTTCTTCAATTTATGCTAAAACACGTGTAGAATCTGTAGCATAATAATAATTCACAAATGCTGATATATTTCAGATGATTTTAAATGTGATTGAGTATTCTATATTAATTTCATGTAACTATTAACCAAATTGTTTTCATTATCAAAGTTTAATATGTAAACATAATACCTCTCCCGATTGGTCCTAATGGGTTAGTTGAAAAAAATTGTATTTGTTATGAAAATAATGAGGACATTTTTAATTTTTACGTATTTCACTTATTTTAAATTTTATAGCTAAAATTATTTGGCATACAAAAAATTTTGTAGTTGGTGTATATTTATTGGTATAGATAAAAAGAGATTTAAATACATATTTTGCATGGAACAGAAAACTCGAAACTGTGTTTGAAGTGTATAAAATATACTCTCAAAAAACAATAGATACTAGAAAACATTTCATGATATTAATTCGTAACTTCCTAGCCTTTTCTAGTCTGTTTAATATTCTGTACGTACTAACTGCATTTATGTCTTGAACTAATAGTTTTTCTTTGAAGTGTTATTTCTTGCAAGGAGGACCAGAGAAAGTGAGTTGAAATGAAATAAAATGAAATGGAAACCCTTCAAATACACTTTGTCAGCTGCGTTCAAACATTTTACCAAGGAGACTCAAGAATCCATTCGAATGTCGATCACGTGATACTTCCGTATACTATATCAGTAATCTAGAAGATATTATCCAGTGAAAGAGATGTTACTCAGTAAAACGTTTAAGGATTTGGACAGCCACATATATTGTCTTTGGCAAGACATTCAACACGATTATTTGCTTTTCGTGAGACTATTTCAAAAGTAGCTTTTAAATAATGCATAACATACTGACCCTTGCAGAAAATCTTTGACGTATCACGTAATTAAAATGTCATCAGTCAACTAAGTATGCTTTGACTCATGGAGAACTCGAGACCAAGAGATTTAATAACTGTCTGCAAAAATCGTATTTAACTTGGATTTACAAGAAAAGTTTTGCTTAAAAAATACCTATTTCTTTACTTGCTTGTTTATTTCTATATTGCGATTAGTTTACCATTCACACTGCCTTTATTGCGCACATAAAAACTTGGACATTTGTAACACGAATTGAATTTAAACGAAACTGACGTTTTTACTGTAGGGATGAATCCCCACGTGATTTCTAGAATAAAAGAAGTGAGTAATATTACAGTACAAAACGAAATATTCGTCAATCCCTCGTCTCTCGATGTATGAATTGGTTTGAAAATTATAGCTGGCATGGGGTTTTTCCATTTAAATAGACTTAGCCCCTTTTGGAATGCTTCAATGCGTGTAGCTCTGTACTACCTAGACGGGCTTGCTGATTTTAAAGGTAAACACGCTGTGATGCCCCTTGTTTGGTACGTGCTTGGAGAACGTGATGTACAGTGGCAATAGTGATTCAACAATAAATTGTCTTTGTAATTATAAACTATATATAAAGTTTATACTGCTCCTAGTGTTGAGATGATTTATTATTTGAGCCACACAAGACTTGGGTAGAAACGAGCAAAATTAAACAGTAATCATTTTTTATAGGTACCTTTGGCTTTCTCTTTTTTATCTGTACATGTCCGATCGTATTGTGAAGATATGACTATTATGCTAACTTCTTAAGTAATTTTATATATACTGATACGATCGAAATTCAACTTATGATTATTGCTCGAATTGAGGGGAAATGGAGTTTCTTTTGCAAATGTATTAGTGTTTCAGTGAACCCCATTACATTATGATACTTCAAACATAGTTACCTGGCAAAACGTTTTTACAGCAAAACAGAGCTTTTTTCTCTATTTTCTGATTTGAACATTATAATGGTATAATATGTTGTTATAATGAATTATGAAGTCACACAAATCCATCAAATAGTACTCTGCATTATTGTCAGTACGTATTATGCAAAAGTAAACAAATATTATGTTGGTTTTTTTTTAGTAAAAATAATAAAGAGTATTTTACAGCATAATGTTAGCTTATAATTTTAATATTAATACAACCATAAAATTTGTTGTGTAGAAAAAATAGCATGGTATCTTTGTTTGTTGTTAGGGATCGTTGCTTTAAGCGATCCGATGCGTCTAATGATAAAAAGATGGTACTCACGTTATGCAGAAAAGTAAAGTACTCAAAGTCACGTGTCACTTCGGATAGGAACGAGTAAAGATATCAGTTTATTATTATTGATGTAATAAAAAATATCAAAATGACTGTGTAATTATTTCTGTTCGTCTAAATTGTGGATTATAATAGAGATTGTGGTTGAGTTGTTTTATTTGTTGAAGACGAGCAATTTTGATAATAGAATACTATTTTCCATAAAATTCGTCAACGTATAATAATTTTTAAATGATTACCACAGTTTCTTTGAAATAGTACATTATTGGGTTATCATTGTTTTTGTGTAGTATTTTCGTGTACATATTGGTCGTAAAACTCTCAAACTCCGATCAAGCAAACCGAAACGGAAATGTATTTATCTGCAAGGCTAGCATCATTGGAGGGATGGTTGTTCCTTGTTAATTTCCTGGACGCGAGATCAGGCCACTTTGTATTGCTAATGCGTTTATCTTGTCGTCGTTTTCGGATTTATTGCCAGTTGACGTTAAAAGCGTGCGCGTGCTTGTGTGTGTGTACTTGGCTTGGGTGAAAAGGGCAAAGAGGTATTTATATAGAGTAGAAGGGTATAGTATTTTGATATCGTCTACCGCACGAGCTTTGGATGAACAAATGGGAACCCATACTCTACCCCCGGGGATCCACCTCTCTGTAATAATTTCATCCTGTCAAATGTATGGAAGACGAAAGCAGAACTCATGATCG